TTGCCGAAACAAAAAGTCGCGAAATGGCCACTTCCAGCTTATTTCCTGGCCCAATATGAACACATATTATTATGTAGTTTTTGGTTTCAAATCGTTTGACAATATCACATTTCTGCTTTAAGAAAGTGTCAATTTTGCGTCTGTAAATTTCGTCATAATTGATCAATGCTGGTTTGTAAAGAGCATGTTCATGACCCACCTTCATTTCGAGTTTCACTTCGAAAATGAGCCGTTACAATAAAGGCACCTTATTCTGGACTAAAGGGCACAGAAAATGAATTGAAACGATAACAGACACGGACGACGGACGCTACTGAAGATGCACAAATATCAGTTTCGCGTCCTCAACCGTAATGATTCGTTTACAATGAACAGTGACAAACCGTTGCATCTAAGCTCGAGGTAATCCTATCGCGAATTGGTTGAATGAAATGTCGCGAAATATTACACCAATCGCCAGTCGGTAAAACGAATAATTATGCGAAAGAAGTAAAATTACTGTCTCCAACAAAATTACCGGTCACGTGGCTTGAAATCATTAATGAAGGCTCCGTATAATTGCACCTAAAAAACCTGAATTCAGTTCACCATCTTCATATGTCGCGCAACGAAAAGGAACCCGCGACGAAGATCTCCGGCACATTTCCGCCGGTCTATAATTTGCAAGTGTGAAGCAAATGTGGCACAAGGCGTCTCTTGTGCGACCTTGGCGCTCGCGACGCCTTCCCAGCCTTCTATGATTCGTTGAGAGTGAAAGTCGCCGGGGCGAGAGTGCGTCTCCGGGCACGTGCATACGCGTCATCACGTGTTCCTAGGTTAGGGTTTCATTCTTTACGCTGCCGGGATCCGCCGACGACAGTCGGGGTCTCTTGGAATTTTTCCGCAACGGCGCCGTGTCAGGTCGGATTTGAATAATGGATAAATCATCGGGGCCGTGCAGGCAGATGCGTTTCTTTTCCATGACAGAACGTTGTAATCGGCAAAACTTTTATTGATACATACTCTTTCTAAACTTCTTATATGTTACATATTTTAGCATAAAAGGCGATTTTCAACCGTCATTTGTTTTCGAGTAATGACGTCATCGACATTTTTTTCAAATAGCAACCCCCTATTTTTTTTCTTGATTCCGAAAGATCGTTTCATTGTCGATCCGACAGTATTAAAATGTTGCCATCTTACTTAGGAAAGTTTTGGAGTAAATGACGATTGAATGTTAGAAAACCCAAATCAATTAAAATAAAGCAAAAACGTTATCAAATTTAGTTTTTCGAAATGCCTGAAGTTTTTTAAATGTGTAAATCTTTACAAAGTGTCACTGTCATACCGACTTTCTAAGTACTGTAAGCGATATAAAAATTATTGTTGAATTTAAAATATTATGGCACATTTAATTGTCACACAAAGAATTGAAATTTTAATTCTTATCGGATTAGTTAATGAAAAACATCCAGATCGCTGTATCAGCCAATCAACAGTCAGTAAGATAGAATCTAAATTTAGAGAAACTGGCAATGTTGTAGATATTCCAAAATCTGGACGTCCAAGCGTTAGTGAAGATCACAAACAGAACATTTTGATAAGTATGGTAGATAATCCTCATAATACTTCACGATTGGTTGCATTAAACAATGAAATTAGTCAGACCACAGTGCTACGTATCAATTATGATGGATTTATGTCGAGTAGAGGATATTTAGAGTTTTTACTAAATGACCTTGTTCCAGCACTTGCAGTAATTTTTCCTAACGATAATGACCCTGATATTCCTGATGACACCATATGGTTTCAGCAAGACGGTGCACCTCCGCACTATGCACGCCCTGTTCGAGATTTTCTGGACAATTGTTTTCCTGGGGGGTGGATTAGCAGACGAGGACCGATAGAATGGCCCACGATATCCCCAGATCTTACACCCTGGACTATTTCTTATGGGGCTACTTAAAGTCCAAAAATTGTATTATATGTGAAATATACCAGAAATAATTCAGAATATGCAAAAAGAATTTCTACACAGACTTGCGTATTGTCAAGAAGTCGGTGGCAATTCGAACACTTAATTTAGGTAGAATGTCCGACACCTTTTTCCTCTGTGACTTTTTTCGATTTTGGGGCGTTTTCCCTCTAATTTTTCCGAAACACGTCGTTTTGACGACATATGAAAAATGTATCGATACTGTTTTTTTTTTAAATTGAATAGTAAAAACTTCCAATGAAATGTGAAAATAAAAATCTCTGACAAAAGATATGAGCCGTTCAAAATGTCTGCAAGCTCGAATATGTCAGAAAAACTACTGTAAAAAAATTATTAATAACCAGCTGATTTTCTCAAGATCCTATCTTTAAGAACAGCAAAAACAACTTCTCATATTGTCCGACGAAAATTATTTTCCGATTTTCCAGTCTGACGCGTCAAAGTTGTCGATTTCATAACTAAAAAAAATATATAAATAACAATTTTTTTAAACATTTTTGAGTTTTTTTATTGAATTTAAAATATGATAAAAAAAAATTGTCTGATATTGAAACTGAGCCCATTACATGAAAATAGTAATTAAAACAATTTTTAATTTAGTTTTCTAGCTACGCTTGGACCTTGCGTTCACGAGTATAAATAGAGACCATATTTATTAATAACCAGCTAATTTTTTTCACCGTAGCTTAATTAAAACAAATAGAACACAATTTTTAATTGTCTGATAAAATGTATTTTCCAATTTTTCAGTCAAGAAATACAATTTTTTAATGTTTGTAATCCACCCTCATAATTTCATAATTATTTCATATTAATCTTTGACGTATAGTGGTTTGGTCTTCAAGTGAGGAGAAAAACTCTAAGTAGCATGGAAAACTTTATTCTACGAATTTCGCTTGTAACACGAGACACAACCGAGCAGGAACTAGGCTTCAAGACTTCTGGTTCGTGCCTCGAAATATTTTCGGTTTTTATCCTTGTGCCCAGGTACCTACTTTTATTACCCTATCCTAATTAACACTTATCCGGGTCATTACCTACTCGGTTTGTGCTTATGTACCCTAATAAACAACAACTAATTTATGTATACAACCTACTTATTCTAATCTCATTTGCTAAATACATTTATTTGGGATAATCCCGGACAATTAAAAGTATAATTTATATGGCTCGTAAATTCCCAGAAAGCAAAATATATTTATTGGGGCAGGTACTAAATGTAATTGTAGCGTACTACTGCAGAAGAATACATTTTATTACTTCAGAAATCATTGATGAATCGATTTATGAAAATTTTAATAGAAGCTATGGTAAAGTCTTTTCTTCATTTTAATCTAAAATTGCCGCCTTTTTTTCATTTTTAGGCTCTCATGAAGAAAAATGTTGCTCGATATATGTTTGAGACATATCTGATTATCTAAATTTTATTGGAAAATTTCGGAAAAGCGCCTGATTCATAAGGCTTTAAGTGGTACGCAATTAAGTTTTCAGCTCAATCCTAGCAAAATTGACGTAAAAGAATTGATTTAAAATGTTTGATCCTAGCAATCCTTAAGAAACAAACTATTAAATTTTCAGATGCTGATGATAGATACGAGTATCTTGACTCTGAACCTGAGGAAGAAGACAATTAAGACAGTGATGATACAGATAAATGAAAGTACGGATGACGAAAATTAAGCAAAATTAATTTTTTTATAATTTTTTTATTTTGATTTTATATTTTCTTAATTTTCAAAACTTTCGAAATATTTCCTATAACCGATATTATTTAATAAAATACATGATATACATTTATTAATTACCAAATTAATGTAGTTTTTATTTATAGTACCGTAAAAAAAGCTGAATAACGATTATTGAAATAATAATAATTATTACAAACTGAATTTAGGACTGTCATTGTTGAAAAATGTCATTTTTTCGTCAGGCTCTAGTTACGCCCCAATATATATTGATGTGTACCACATATTAAGTACCTACTGCTTTTCTGAATATAATTTTTCAGTGTCTGACGGTTATTAATAAATTTTTTGTAGTCATGGAATCGACAACGCGTCAGATAACTGGAAAGTCGGAAAATAATTTTCGTCTGACAATATGAAAAGTTGTTTTTGCAGTTCTTAAAGATGGGATCTTGAGAAAATCAGCTGGTTACTGGTTATTAATAATCTTTTTTAAGCTATTCAATTAAAAAAAACAGTATCTATAAATTTTTCATATGTCGTCAAAACTCCCCAAAATCCAAAAAAGTCACAGAGGAAAAAGGTATCAGACTAGGCCTAATGAAGCTATATAAAAAGTTTGGAGAGAGTATGTATCAATAAAAGTTTTGCCGACGGAGACTCTAACTATAAAATCTCATAAATTTTTTTGTAAAATTACTCACTGGATTATTGGTTGTTTTGGTCACACTGTACGTACGTTAAAATATTTAAGTGGGGTATTCCTGAGTTAATTCTAAGGAAAAAAAACCTTAGTGCGGAAATGCTTCGTTTCTGAGATACAGGGTGTTGAAATTAAAAATTTATTTTAGATTTTCCTAAATAACTTTTACTAAAGATACATTTTTCGCACAAAATTTGGTAACCGGGGTTTTTTTGAGGTGAGAAATCATAGTTTGGTATTAATTTTTGTGTAGCACTTAGAGGGCGCTACATACGCTATCATTATTAATTTCAATTTGCTATAACTGTTTTGACAGAGGACTTAAGCGATTTTTTATGAATAAACCATATTCCTACACCTTTTTTAAGCAAAAAACTTTTTAAATTCAAATTCATATAGAAAATCAAATTCTCTTTTCACCGATATAGACATTGTAGGGGTTACAGTTTCAATTTTCTCAGATATTTTCGGTTTACTTCCATTCTCAAGAATATATAAAAAATATAATATTATTAAAGGAAAAATGGAAACTATCCAATTACACTATTCGCTCTTTTTCTTGAAGGCAGTTAACGCTATACAGTTTATTCCATGGAGGATGGAGTTTATTATTTAATTATTTATTTATTTTTTTCAGACGAATCAGGATGCGAGGCTGACATGGCAGAAGGCGGTGTCGAAGAAGACAACAGCGAGATGTTAGGTCCCACTTTGGCTCCCGTCCTACAAACCATGCATACCCCAGCACCATCGAATTTGAGCGCCAGGGATGAGGTACGTCATATTAAATATCTACATAAATCGTCTGCATCACATGAACAATGTTATAGTTCTGTTACTGCGATTGTTTTTCTGGAAATACCATTTCTCGATAAAAAAAATTAATAATTTCGCAAAGAAACATTTCCTTCCATTCCTTCCATATCCTTCCATTCCTTCAATATTGTTGTTTATAGAGAAGAAAGTGGCAACTTCACGTCAATAATTGTATTATTTACAATACTTTGCAATAATGTGTCAAAAACTGTGTCAATACATAACTGCAATTTCACACGCTTTTACCAGTTACGTTTGAAACAATTTACAGTAACTGTTCTAATGGTTTTGAATTATCTTTACTGACGAAAATGTAACTAAATCAGGTAATATCGCAAGTGTAATGTAAAACAAGCTTTCTACGCATAGCAACAAATTAATAATCCTTTCTAACAAGTTATTATTGCGGTACGCTTTTCTGAACATATCACTTAGTTTACAACATTTAAGACGTCCATCAACCTCCATATCGATGCGTTCTTAAGAGAACGTTTTTATGTAATTAGTAGGTAGGTATATTAATTTTCAGTAATTAGTACATTAATAGATATAGTTACGCTGTTTGCGCTTAGGCTGTTGTGTTCAGATAATTAAGAAATAACTCAAACCTTTAGGTATATTTTTTCCTAAGACTGTTAATATACGTGTGAAGTGAGATCTTGCAATTTGGTTGCTGCAATGAAGTTGTAAGGATTTTTCGCTACAATTAACTATCGCAAAGGAAAACGTTCAACATATAATCGCGATGCAATGGCAGCGTTTTGGTGACCTTTCCAGTAAATAATCCTAATATCGTATTAATTAATTTATTCCTACTGTTCATATAGGCCATATTGGGTGGAAAACGGAACATAAAAACATCTTGTGTTTGCATAAAGATTTAGTACAAGAATATTTATTCGTTTTAAGTACTACATTGGCAAGCAATCTAAATAAATAATAGAATCGATGCTAAACTACACACAGTAAGAAAGTTAAATTAGTAGAAAAATTTCCAAACTTTTGTAGTGATTCTTGAAAGGGTATAACTTCCTGAATAATGGTTGTATCGAGAAAAAAAGAAGCATCTTGGAGCTTGAAGATTCTAGTTTTGAAATCTTGAGATGAAAATTTTTTTTGAGCACCTTGTCGCAATCCAAAGAAATAATGCAAGGCTACAATTTTTTATTTCAAAACTGCATATGGGCGCAAAATTTTTTTCTGGCTTAATCAATTAGTCATTTTCATTTGGCCTTTGTTTTTTTATTTTTCTATATGATTATTTATTTGCAAATAATGCGAAACGTACCATAGTTTGTAATTTCTTTTAGCTCAATACATGCCCATGAGGCTCGTAAATTTCGAAATCGATCAATCGAACCGTTTTTCTTTCCCGAATAAAATAAAAAATTTAAGGAGCAGGTTTATTGCTCTTTAAACATCAAATGATGATTATGGAAACAAATTTTTTGCGTTATTTTTTCTCAATTTCGCGTTAAATACTCGTCAAATATTAAAAAAATATAAAAATATTAAAAATAATTTTGAAAAAAAATTTTTAGAAAATTTTTCAAAATTTTTTTTTTGAGATATCATTTTTACAATTTCACATTGAATATTTGAAATGTCGAAAAAAAATTTTTTTTTTTTAAATGAAATTTTGAAACAAAAAAATTAGTTTGCGTTATTTTTCTCTCAATTTCGCGTTAAATACTCAAGTATCAAAAAAAAAAATAAAAAATTTGAAAAAAAATTTAATTTCTGAAAATTTTTACAATTTTTTTTACAATTTCACATTGAATATTTCAAAGTAAACAAAAAATTTGAAATTTTAAAACAAAAAAGTTTTTGCATCAAATATCAAAGAAGATTCAAAACTTTGAAGAAAGTTCCATTTTGAATAAAAATAAAATTTTTGAAAATTTTTCTAAATTTTTTTTGTGGTATCTTTTCAATTTCACTCTAAATATTTCCGACGTCGAAAAAAAAAAATTTTAGGAATTAAATTTTTTTTTTTTATTTCAAAATATTCATATAATTATACTGAATTTTCTGTTCAGTTTTGATGCGATTTTTTTCTTCGCATGCCGCATTTCATCGAGTTAAAATTAAATGCATTAATTTGAGTTTATACTACTAAGTAAATCCTCATGCATTTTTCTATATATGCATCGCTACGCGATTTACTGATCCTCTTTCCGAAAAAAACGTCAGTTTTTTCAAAACTACCAATTTTCTCATAAAAAAAATCTTAAATTTTATTAACAAATTGTTTTCAAGTATTCAATGTGAAATTGTGAAAAAAATAACGCAAAATAATTTTGAAAAATTTTATTTTTTTTAATTTTAATTTTAATTATTCGATATTTGATGAGTATTTAACGTGAAATTGCGAGAAAAATAACGCAAAAAGAATGTTTTTCTTCTTAATCATCATTAATAATTGATGTTTAATTTAAGGAGCAATAAATCTGCTACTTTAATTTTTTATAAAACTTTGACGATTCAGGAAAGGAAAATGGTTCGACCGGACGATTTCAAAATTTACAGGCCTCATGACCATATACTGAGCTAAAAAAACTACAAACATTGGTACTTTCCGCAATATTTGCAGTGGTCGTTAATTTTCCAAAAACAGCAGAAAAAGTAATTTTTTGCACTTTTTCAAATTACCTAATACTGAGTGGATCATGAGATATCGATGTTCAAAGAAAAATGTGGACTTTTTACTCAATTGCCGATATCTCAATGAGACAAAATTGTACAAAAAATAAAAAAATCAAATTGAAGCTAATGAATCAGGCTAAATGAAAAAAAATTGTAAAATTTGTTTTGATTGCGCCGAGAGTGATACGCAAAAATATGTTTCATCTCAAGATTTCAAAACTAGAATCTTCAAGCTTTTGATGTTTTTTTTCTCGACACGATCATTATTCACGAGACTACCATTTTTTCAAAAATCACTAAAAAAATTTGGAAATTTTCCCGCTCCTTTAATTTATTTGCTGAATGTATTACAGATTACAATTGTGTGTTCACAACACCAGAACATCTGAAACTCTTTCCCCGTTATTAGTATCAATTAAGATCAATTACGATCAAGGTAGTCCCAATATAAGTAGCGCAATTGAAATGGCGAGTCTTGGATATTCTAGTAGTTAATTGTCTGGTTATATCATACGCATATAATTACAAATAAATTATAACATATCGTACGATTCCCATGATTAATCGAAATAGAATTATAAGCACTCCATTTACATAAAAAGCAAATGTCGAGAAATGATAATAGACTGCCCAGCCAGACACACCTTTTTTCAGCGTTAACAAGAAGTCCGCTTTGCATTCGATACGTTATTTATTTGGTGGTTACGTCGGTAAGCGCAATTAGAAACATACTCGTATGCCTACGTACCTACATGGACTTATTTTTATATGTTAAGTACTCCTTTCTAGATTTAGAGTGCGTTTAATTAAATAATTGCCCATTTATAATTACTTAATATGACTCCATCGGATTTCTAATTTCATCATCTCGAACACATTAATTACTGCATTTTTCTGCTTGAAAAATTAATGTAAACAAATTATTAACATACTTATAACATTATGATTATACCTTATTGAAAGCGTATCAGTGCATGGATACCACACGGACATTTTATAAATAAATTCATATAATTATTCAGTAACATAATAAGGAGAGGCAGAAAAGTTATTCGAAGGCAGGAAAATTATTTGCTTAATGTGAATTATTCCAGATCTGGTGGCGCGGCGACTAGATTATCGTTTCTAACAGTTTATCGTAATAATATGTTAACAAAATGGTTTTATATAGTTGTAATAAATGTAATAATACCCTTTAAATATCACATAATGAACGTTCACTTAGGCACGAAGAAAAATTGAATGTGTTGAAACAGTATTGGAGCAAATGTTGCGTTACAACTGGAATACGTTTACTTGGAAGAAAGAGTTTTCATTTTGCTTACTTAAATAACTAAATTTATAATTGATTCAGTCTATATGTGCGCGTCAGCAGTGGTGGATGTATCAAATAATATAGAGACAGTCCATTTAGAAAAAAACATCAAAGAGCAGGTATTGCTCTTTAATATGGTATTCGACACAATAGATTTATTTTGAAACAACTTTCCTTATCAATGACAAAGTCAACATTTTATTTATTTTTATTAACTGCTCACAGAATAATTTTTATTAATAATGCCAACTCTGGAGCAACGAATTTATCTTGGAAAATGTTATGGAATCGGTAATGTTTCTTATCGACATGCAATACAAATTTTTAATGAAAAGTATCCAAACCTAACTGTAACTCGTAGAACAGTTTGCAAGCTAATTGTAAATTTCCATACCACTGGTGATGTAATAGTTATTATTTACACCAGAAAGGAGGTAAGTCGAGGACGTTTTTGCGCCCGAGCGGAGCGAAGGCTGGCAATAGAGTCCGAGACTGGAAACTATACTTAACTGCTGAGTGGTGTATAACATTTTATCTGGTCCCACAGTTCTTTATGGTTCATGAAATGATTATGTTTTATTTTTGACATTTCTTAATCAATTCAATTTGACATTATTCGAAATCTTCTCGCCTTGGTTGTTTAGATTTTGTCGGTTCTAAGGTGTTTATAAACAAACCTACAAAGTTATAATTTTGCTGGTTTTGAGTTATTATTTCTAAATGAGTGATTTTCAAATAGAAAGTGCGGCAAATGCCGCCTGCGAATTTTTATTGCTCGAGAAGTCGAAAGTACGCTACGGACGAACATATAGAAATTTCAAAGAATGGTGCCAGAACAAAAATAATGGTGTTTCTGAAATGTCACTGCTAACATATTTCTTGGAGAAGAACTTTAAAGTCACCGACGAGTTTGTGGAGAGAATACTCAATGATTAAGTCAACTATTTTCATAGAGGAGAACGTCGATATATCAAAAAATCCCAAGCTGAGAACATTT